AACGGCGACGCGCGTGTCCAGGCTGCAGAGGGTGAAGATGGCTGAGTGGGCGGAGAGCGCTTCGGCGGTGAGTGGTGGGGTGGACAGGGACAGGCGGTGGTAGTTGTAGATGAGCTCAGCGTCGGCGTCGGTGGCCGCGTCCTCCGAGGCGGCAGCGGGTGAGGGTGAGGGAGCTGGAGCGGGAGCGGGAGCGGAGGTTGGGGAGGGGTCCATGTCAAAGACGCGGGGGGAGGCGGAGTCCTCCGAAACGGCGGTAGGGGCCGTCATTGTAGTGGTAACCCAAAAAAATGGCGAGGAGTGAGGTGTGTTATTGACCCAGGGTAGAAGTGGGTTGTTTGACTTTCGAGTGTCAGTTTTTGGTGAGGTGCGGTGAAGGACGATAAGTTGATGTTTTTCGTGGGAAAATGAAGATGTCAAGTCAGCTTCTTCGGTCCTCATGAATGTAATAACCCTAACCCTTGCAATTCTCACGCCGGCAATATCGCAGTTGCCATTCGTTGACGTTCATTGAGATGTTTTTTGCTCGGCATATTCGTCATGTCAGAACATTAACCTCATTTGATAATAGGTGATAGCTGATGTTTCTGAGCCCGAGGTTGAAGCTTCTATTTCAACGCCGAACACTTTTTCCGTTGATATCAGAAAAGTTGCACCTTTGGCTCTTTCCTTTTTTTTGCACCGTGATATACATGATATGATAAATTTGACTTCAAGAGTTTTCACATTTACTCCCTCATGCTCATTTTTTGGTTGGAACTTGACAGTCATTTGTATTTGCTGCTTCTCTTCACATCCAATTATGCCCAGCTGGAATCGTGCAGTCTCCAGATCAATCCCCCGCGCGCCAGGACCTTTCTAATGTATTGGCTGCCGATAGTACAGAGCATGACGTCTAATCTGTTTCAGGTGACAGCTGTGGGTTTCATTTCATTTCTTTATCCAACTTTGAATTACCATAGTCTCATTTGGGTTTTTAAAATGCAAGTTTCATGACTTGACGATGCATTCGCGGTGGTTGTCGCAAAAGGAAGCAGACCAACTCTGCACATGAAAGTAGAGGTAAGTGACAGTTTGTATGAAATGAACGAGAAAGCCCATGCAAAATAGTGGAAGGGTGACACCTCGAGTCCCGTTATATCCGATTTCTCTTAGCTGCGTGGTTCGCTGCAACTGCCTATCTTCTCTATTTCAATGTTCACTTAGTATAGATAGTTGCAGATCGTATTAAGTCGATATTCTCGAATTCTGCAATTTAGGAGACATAAAATCCGCGTCAGCGTCTTCCCTGGTTTCTGGATGTATGTATTGATTTATCGTCTGGCGAAGAAAATGAATTGAACCCGAGTTTCGAAGCTGGGAGCTATGCCGTAATGCCGTGTGCTCGGATGCGTTATGCATGAGTTGTGTAGTATCATGGCGCCAACCTCGGTTTCGGTTCTGTCAATTGTTGCTCGGGTTGGAGTCTGAGTAGCTGGGAAGGGTGTTTTCGGATTCTATCCATGTCCGCCATCTGGTTTACTAGCTACCATTGCGGAGTAGCTTAGTTACTGTCATGATTATCAACACAAGGATCATGGATAACAACTTTCTTTTCCCTCTCGGGTCCGCGTAACTTGAGCATGGAAGGCACCGGAAGGTTGCACCAGAGATCTTCTCCACACCGCCTCAACCGTGCTCAAACTACTGAGGTCAAGCCTCACGAACTGGTGACCACCGTTCAAGAAAAACGGGCCGCAGGAATCGTGGGGCGGATCTGTACGCACAGACTGTCGTCGTTCAAGGTGTCAAGATGTGCCAAGCTTCCTAGGTTTTGCTAGCGGCGGGGCCTGGAAGCCAGTTCATCTGATGGTTGACCTGGCACATCATGGGTACGGGTGGCTTTACAATGCAAACACCACAGTCATGCAGTTTAAAGAGGCCACCTCTGAACTGTATTCCTCCTCCCCTATATTCTCTCCAAATCTTTCTATCTCTCATGATGATACAATCCGCCGTGTCTGCGGAAACAAAAGAAAACTTGGAATACTCTGACCGACCCTCAGACCCGTAAAAGGCCATGCCCTGTCCAAAGGCTACGCTATTTACAATAGCGTGGCGCGAACCTAGGAAGCGATTGATCCAGCGATCGCTTTGACCTTGGTAAATCTCGGCGATTGGCCTTACGAGGAACTTTGGATCGGGGCCGCGGCTCGATTGCTGTTCGCGCTTGCGCACCCCAGTCCCAGCATTAGGATTGATGCTATTGGCCAGGAAGCTGACTCGGCCTGAGCAATTGTTGCGCAACAGACAGCATGGATGCAGGGCCCGGGGAGGGTTTTAGAGTCCTTAGGGTCATTGATCTCCCAGCATTCAAGAGCTCGAAACTGCAAGCTCCTTTCAACTCCCCACAACTGTAGCGACATCTTCAGTATCGCCAAAGCCCGGATTGCCACCACTTCGTCGTCGTTGTCGCCGTTGCGACGTCTTCGATGCAAAGGGACGGGCCGCCATGGCCAGGAACATTACTGCCGGGCTTGGAGGCGGACCGGACTCGGACGCCATGTCCGAGCTTGAAGACAAGGTACATCTTGAACGCCACAGTCGGATCCGCGAGTTCGTCGCCCCCGTGCACTCAGCCAAGGGAGGTTACCAACCCACGGCACCCCTAGAGAGGGGAGGCTTCAACATCACTCCGCCATACGTTGCCGACCCGTTCGACAATGGGGTCGCAGAGCTTGGAAACAAAGCACGAGTTCGAAGCCGGAAACCGTCAAAAGAGCCATCAGAGTCGTGGTCATGGTTTCGCGAGATACGCACACGGTTCCACAACCTCAGCAACAGAGCCCGGGTGATTCTTGGGATCATCATAATCCTCACTCTCGCGGGGGCAGTAGTGGGTGGTGTGGCCGGCGGGCTTCTGCCGAAAAACAAGCAGCTGGGCACAGTAACTACCTCGAACATCTTGAGCAGCTCCAAGCTAGCCGCCACGAAATGGACCGACGAAAAGGGCAACCCCGTCTATACAGTCTACTTCCAGAACCTGAACGGTCATCTGATGATGTCGCAGTGGGCTGGGGTCACCAAGTTCTGGAACGTGACGAACATCAGGGCCGCCCTAGGAGCCTCTAGCGAGTCCATCTTACCCCGGAACGGAACGGCCATCGCAGTTGACCACAGCCCCACCGGAGACTCGGCCAACCTCCGCTTCCTCAACGACGCAGAACATCTCGACTTCGTGGTTGGTGGCCGGGATGGACGATGGAAGCTGGGGGACAGGACCAACCTGGGGGCTGTCGCCGCCCCTGGCAGTCAGATCGCGGCATTGTCCGACGGCTGCACTTCCAACTGCACCAACTCGTCCATCATTCTGTACCAAAGCGAACAGCAGGTGGTCATGACGCTGAGGCATAAGTTTGCGACCACGTCGTGGGACACATACTCCTGGGATCAGTCAGTCGTCAAGGATGTCGACTCCCCTCTCGCCATCGTGCCATTCCGGCCCGACAACTCCGTGTCCACGGATCCGGTAGGACAGCGTGTCTACATGGGGATTAATGGGAGACTGGTTGAGTCGGTGCGAAACGGGTCGGACGCTTTTGCCCCGTTTAATCGAGGTAAGGATTCTACACAGCCCCCGTGCTTATCGGCAAAGAGACAAAAGAATACTAACTTCAAGACAACTCCAGGTCAAGAGTTCCCCCTCGCCGATCCGGGCAGCACCGAGCCATACAAGTCTCCCTGGCTCTCCGCCACATCATGGGCCTCGAGCCCCAGCGCAGGCCTGCAGAACGTCCTGCTGGCGCTGCTCTTCAAGAACGGGTCCGTCGTAGTACATTGGTACGACCAGGGTAAAGGGGCGTGGCTGCAGGGGAATCCCGCCGTCGCGAACGTCTCGGCGATGGCCGTCCACGACGGTATGCGGGCGTACTGCGTCCAGCAAGGAGTGCTGAGGGAGTACCTCATCGACCAGAGTGATCCGCAAAGGTGGACTCTGAATGGGAACGTCACGACTACGGTAGGAACAGGGGGGAATAAATAACGGACATACATTCATTTTGGACATTTACATATTCGGCGTAGATACAACATACCCCTACATAGCTAGACGGAGTTTATTGCTTTTATTTATTGATATCTTCAACATTTGAATCATGGATGCGAGCCTAGGTCCGGGCACACGTCTTGAAGACCCCCGCAAGAGTACCTAGGTAAGGTGTAATTTCTTGGTGATAAAAGTATGTGTTCTAAATATACTGTTTCTGCTCTAGAAAGTACCTAAGCTTGATACACGATACATTCTCATGGTTACTTGGCTCTAGCTTACGCTCAAGAGCTGTGTGTGCTGGTCATTCATGTGGTTGTCACAGGTCAAATTCAATTTCGTCATCACTCCACCCAAGGCTGGCGACAACGCAGTTATTTCATCGCAGCGAGCCAACACAGTCCAACGCATCCACGCAGTTCAACGCGACGCCCTTCGAAAGGCGCAAACTTCAGGGTGTCTCTCCTCTCTTCTGTCACAGAGAGGTGCTATTGTCAAGAACTTCTTGCAATAGGGTTAGGGTTGTGTTCCTGGGATCTAACAAGCTCTAAACGAGCAAAGAAACAAAACTATAAGCGCGAACAGTCATCTCACAGATTCAAGACAAGCATTAATTGGGGACGTTTCTAAGTAAAATCTGTGACAACATGAAGCATTTGTCACAAAAGGATGCATACCTGCTTACCACTTGCATTTTTTGGTTCAGATATTTAAAGTTCGGAAGATAACAGCCATGACGTATGGGCCTTGGAATAAGAAAACAGTGTCGTCCCCCAAAAATGAGATTTGAGATTTCTTTTTCTTTGCCTTCTCATTCTGTCGACAAAAGCACCTAGCGGGTCGCCCTGTCTCCACATTTCCACGATCCACCTTTTCGTTCTGGAGTCAGGGGGTCGGCTTGCAGCTGATGGGTGACAGCCTGGTTCCCTTGCCTTTTCGTGCACCAATTCTACCCATCATCCTCATCAAAACAGATCAAGGGCGTGTGGCTCAGTTGGTAGAGCGTTCGCTTAGCATCTCTTCGTCTCTCGTTCGGGATGATTCTGTGATGCGAAAGGTCCTGGGTTCGATTCCCAGCCCGTCCAATGTCTTGCCTTGCGGGGAAGTTTGTTTACAGACTCCACTCCCCTCTTTTTGATAGGGTTTCAGGTAATTCTTTTTGTGCGGTGAATCAATGGGACTGGATAACTTAAACCCTCTTAGAATTGATGACAGCAATGTCTTGTGTGAGAGTAAATAAGAGTCCTTTTGTGTCTTTGTGCATCCCTCACTCGGTCTTAAAATCTGCTGTTGACCGACAAGAATGCCTCTCCCAAGTTTCAAAGACTTTCCCAAAGAGGCTGGGCATGAACATCTGCTGCCTCAGATATACATACGCATATGTATCCACACAAATAACCCTTCCAAGGCTAGCAGGCCAATTCATTCATTTCATCTCTGACTTTGCCAGTCAAAGAGACACACATCGTACATGATATCCCTAAAGTAGAGTTATTCCCACGTATTCAAGTTGACGCTCGCTTTTCAAGTAGTTATCTAGGTACTTACGAAGAAGCAAGGCCTCGTACCAGTTTCGTACCAGTACAATAGTAAGGGCAGTGTACACCTACCCAGATACCTATTGAAAGATATTACCCAAAGCTCACTAGCCGAACCGCGCCCAACGCGCAAATCCTTCCTTCCTTTGCCGCTTCAGTAGGCTGCTGTGCAACCGCCAACCGGAAAGCTGTGGATCCCCTCCTTCTTCAGCCAGCCCCCAGATCCTTCCATTCTCTGGCTGGGATTTCTTATCTCAGCCCAGGCAGGTAACCTGTACAATCTATCCTTGGTTGTTCATGTAGCGTGTACTTGGCCGGGGCGAGGACAAGGGGTTTCAATCCCATCGTTTTTTTTTCCATAGCGAGCCACTCAAGACAGGGAAGAATTAAAGAGGTATGGGGAGAGACCTGAGGATTCTTTCTTTTTCCGCAAAGATATTTTGCTTGAGGCGTCGCTGGCGGTCTCTCACCTTACGAAAAGACGTCATCAAGTACTGACTACACAGACAAACCAGGGCTGTGTTGTAGTAGCCTGTCGTCTGGTTCCCAAGCAGGCTTCCAGAACGACGGGATGGCCCGCCCCAACTTAAGCGGGAAGATAACAAGACAAGGGTGTGTTTGCTAACAGAATGACAGCGGCGGGATGAGTGCGTGGCTTGAAGCCGCCACCACATTAAATGCCCCTGCCTGCCTGCCTGCCTGCCTGCCTGCTCTAAAGATGTGGGATGGATGTGCCTGAAACAAGAGTACACAGCAGGGCCCGCAGATAGCCGTCTGGCGAGATGGATGGATGACAGGTCTATGGTACTTGACAGCACCACCCACAAACAGCCGCCCTGCCAGCGACGATCCATTTGCTGACACCCACCATGATCTTGATTATCTTGGTGTGGGTGGTGTGAGGAGATCTGTGCGCCCCAATGGCTCATAGAGCCTCATTGACGACAGTCGTAGGATTCAGTGCTGTCTGTCTAATTGAGCCGGGTTAGTGAATGTAAGTTATCTAAGCCTCCTGCATCTCGCCTTGAACACATTTGCACTGTCTTGCATTTCACGTCTGTCCCTCCATGTGGAGGTCTTGCACGGCAATGTCCCACTCATAACTCTGTCTCGGCCACGGATTCGTCACCAGCACCTTCAGCAAACGCCCACGCCTTGCCGCCTGTGTCTATCCCATCCCACCAGCTGAAACAGCAACCGTACAACCGCGCGCATCTCGCTGGCTCACGCCTCGGTCCCGTTCCAGTGCGCCCCGTCCACAAGCACAAACACCATGCCGGGCACCAGCAGCTGGCCAAGGACCATGGCGAACACAGAAACCTATCATGTTCAGATCGCCACCAATGAGACCCTAAGCCATGATGTTTGGGTCCACTAGCGGGCTCGGGAATGTTTGCCACCCGAGCTTTCCGAGAAGCTGCAGTGTCATGGCGTGCACGCACAGGAGCCCTTTGCCGCCCTGGAAGCTTGCCCCAACGGCCGTATGCAGACCGCAGAAGAAGGAGAGGGTCCACATGCCGGCAGATGCGCGCATCGTGTGCGCCATGAGGCCGCACAAGTGGCTCACTGTTGAGAGGGCGCCGTGGTCAGGGTTCTCGTCATCGTGTAGGACCAGAAACGATGAGCCAAGGCTGCGAAGCCATTTGGTGAACTCTGGGGTGCGGGTCAAGATGCTCATCTTTTCAAGCCGTGATTCAGGGGGGATGTGACGCATGGCTGTTGTCATGTCGGCGTCGAGGGCCAACCCGCTGAGGAGAAAGAATGTGGCCATTATCGGCGACTTCAGCCACTCGACACTGGCGTGCATGTCATGAACTTGGCGACGTAGACACATGTCGACCGTGTCTTTGAACTCCTTGACTCTCTGGTGTATATTTGCTTTGGCATCCTCAAATTTTCTGAGGTATCTGCTCTGTTGAAAGAACGTTTTGCAAGACTCGTCTGGTGTAATTTCTTGTCAGCCAACTGTTCTCGCCATACAGACAAAACCGAACTGGAAACGGTTGAGTGATCAGCAGAGTTTCGGCGATTTACACGCACTTGACGACTCCAGCCAAGATATGCTCAGACACACGCAGTCTAAGGCTTCCATGTACAACGCCTCAGACTTCTCCCGCAACTTTGCATCGCGGCTGTAGAGTTTAATGTTGTCCTTTGTCTGTTCCGCTCTCTCTGAAAAACCGTCGAATGGCTCAAGGATATCTTCCCGTACCTTTTCCTTTCCGAGAGCTTTCTTGACGAGGGAGTCAGCAGCAACCCACCCAAAAATGAGACTGTGGCATGAGAGATTACATTATAAGCCAACGTCAAACCTCCTGATAAGAGAGAAGAGTACTCCCCATCCGGCATCAGCTCGAGGAGAAACTCGATGCAACAGTTCCTCATCGTCTTTCCGGCTGCGTGATCTGGGACTTCGAATGGCCGCCTCCAATTGCGCTTCTGTTCTTGTGCTTGCCGTATGCAGCCCATGTTTTCGTTGCCTCTTCTTGCAACTTGTCCCACGAGTCGGCGGCAAACGCGCCCGATGCCTCGCGATCATTTGACCGTGTCAGAAAGTCGCTCAGTCCAATTGAGAATTTCCTAGCAAATTCTTCAAGACTTCATGAGCCCAGATCGCGAGTCCATTAGCACTGGCATTGGAAGAGATGGTAGGAAATAAACTTTAAATAGAAGAGAATATACTCCTTTGATGGTCTTATCGGATCTGCAGAAGGTGGGTTCGGGAGTCGGCCATGACAGAGAACATATGTCTCCTTCAGCTTTTCCAGGGTGGTAGGGTCGGGATTCGACAGCTCGGCCACATGGTTGTTGGCCGTACCGGCGAGAAAGTCGGAGATAGTATTCAGATCCATGTAAGCAATACTTTGAGAGTAGGAGCGCCACGTCCCAAACAAGGATATTGAATGAGATGGAGGTGTGCAAGCTCAAAGCCGTGAGTGTAAAAACATTGTCAAATCACATTCCCAACCACCTTGAACTTGTTGACATACTTTTCCACGTTATTCTTGTGGATATCAGTTTCACGCGCTTTCTCGGCCATCAAGTTCGATTTACGGCCGAGCCGGTGCCACGCGTCTGAAACTAGTGACATCATCCACAAAATGAGGATCCATTTCCACCACCAGCGAAGACACGATATTCTGGGCATAAACAAAAATAAACCTGGTGACTAGGTACTCTGTGACCTTGAACACCCACCTTCTGCATTTCCATCTTCGTGTCGCTGAACTCCACCTGTTCAACTTTCGCATCTCAGAGATTTTGATTCCAGACTTTGCTAGAGATTGTCTGTCCCCTTTGCAATTCTGAGAGTCGTTTTCTCTACCCCCAACCGGGCCGACTCTCAATCTCTACTCGTCAATACCTAAACTTTGCATTCTAGAATCGACAAAATACTCCTTCAAATGGATAAGGTTCCATTTTGGGATCGCCCACCATGCTGGGAATTTCGGAGGACCATGTAGACGACAATTCGGCCCAAACGCCACCATTCAAGGCAGAGGATTACTATTTCAAGCGGATATTCAGCACCATGGAAGACATCAAATCATGGAAGGACAGCATTGGAAGGCGTATCGATCGAGCAAGCAAAGGGTGGTCGGAGCAGTTACGCATACTGGCGTCATCGGTCGAATCTGGGCTTGAGGGGCTCAGAAATTTGGAAAGAAACATCAACGCCGAGCTTAGGGGCGACGAAAGCCTTGACTTTACAGGACCTTCGCCTTTACTGGACATGGAACTCTCTGACTCAGAGCGTGATTTAATAACGGAGAGCAACAAAGACTTATCCATTCAGCCTGAGGAGCCTGAACGCATTTCAAAGTTAAATTCGGAACTCCAACTGTCAAGATCAAATTCAGGACGAGAACTTGTGTATGGAGGTTCAAAACCGTATCGAGGAGATTTCAAAACTGTGGATGGAAGTTTGTCCTATCCGGCAATCTGCGTTGTGTTCAACCAGGCAAGACCCGACGAACCCCATGAAAGATCTCTTCCCGTCCATGACAAGAACTGCGAACTTGATGGATCCCAAGAGCCCATCGTCCGTCCAGAACTCCCGTTGCAACTTATAATTTTGTCCAAAAGGCTTTTCACGACCTCGAAATTCATAAAAGGCTGGCCCAACTCTCATTTTCCCGAGTTTTGTGAGGGTACTATCATAAGACCCTTCAAGCCTTTACTCTAGAGCTAGAGAGAGGGATAAGAGAAACGCTTGCGCACTTCGAGAATGCGCGGCGAGAACGGAAAGCTTGCACCGAGGACGAGTATGACGCTATGTGGCAATCAAAAATCCACCGCAGGATGATGAAGAGTTTGCTTCATCGGTTTCCGAGCTCACTGGTCTGATCAAGGATCTCCCTTCACTCGCCAAATTTATCGACTGCTACATCACTCCAGCTATTAAGGGTGCACCGCACAGAGTTGTCTATTTCTCTGATCTTTGGCACACATCCCCCCTCGGCTCTCTCATCTTCAGCAGGGATAATAGTCCCCCCCAATGAATCTGGAAAGTAATCCAGCAAACCTATCCGATCTGTAATAGCGAC